TCGAAAAAATAGATTTTTCATATGTTTTACTAATTGATCGGCAAAAATTACGTAGACTTTTGTCCAGTGAGTGTATAACGAGCGCCCCAATATCTTGACATGGACTGCTAACCAAGTCACATTATCATTATAATTATTGTGCAACTATTGTCCGACATTAAACGTATCAAAGCAAATTTGTTGATCAAACAAGTTGTCGCCTTACTATTATTACATGGGAAAGAATACTTTCACCAAACTCTAACTTGTACATAGTCCTCTATTGTCAGCGTGCAACATACCAAAGAAGAGAACGGTATCATTAACAACAACCTATGAATACGTAGTAAATCTTATAGCACGTTTTGTTATCTGATCTTTGATTTTGGTTCATTATGTCATGTAATACCACTTGAACAGTTACCCATCCGACTTATATAATTTAATATTTTAAATCGATTAGACCTGAGTGAGAAGTTTATGAAACATGTAAACTTGCGCCGAGTAACCCGATTTGTCACCTGCAAATCTTATTCACTCGGGTCGGGCCATTCAAGTAATTTTACCCATCATTTGCAAAATCGTGCTTTGTAAAATCGGGCACGTTTGGTATGCGTAAATGCATATTAGACCCTTTTTGTTTACTTACGTCTTCCAAAAACGGCAATAATATTTATATTTATCCAACTAATATGTTACAGTGTAATAATAATATGCACAGTTCTAAACCTGTTTGATTGACAGCGGATTGTCTATCAACGACGATTCCTTTTGTGCATGCTCTTTTTTTTTTTTCTTTTTCAAACAATCGATTTTTTTTTAACTTTTAATTAAAACCTGTAGTATTGATAGAAACGTATGGTATAGTATAGCTGATTGTACAACAGTCAGCCGGTCAGATCAGATCAACATCGTCGACTAATTATAGCCACTTCCGTTATTACTATCTATATTTGTACCGAGTAATGACAAATGATCCGTACAATATGTCTTTTTAAATTTAAGGATCCTTGTTTCAATAAACGAATACTTGTGACATCAACTGTGCAGATAACCCGTAGAAGACTTGGCGAATCCGCTCATGTGCTCTTTCTTTAATATCGTGGTATACCAACCAGCGTAGTGTATAAAACTCATATGCAAGAACCTGTTTCATTCATAATCATTTGTAAATAATTAAACTCGAAGCATGTGTCACGGCAAAAGTTACACGATAAACCCGTAAAGCAAAATCCACCGATAATTTCGATAATTGATAAGTACAAGTTGAGGAGGTTTAAAATATAGAGAAAACGAACAAAATAGTTACATTCTATACAACAGATGGTTAACCAACTTGCTTGATTATTAATTAAGACACAGGGCAGCGGGCGGGCAAACCACACACATGGCAGCAACTATAAGTAATTGCATAGCACAATTAATGTATTATTAACATCTATTCTGCTAATTGCCCATCATCGAGTTCTCGGCGCTGTAAAAGAAACGAGAGTCACAATTTAACCAACAATTACACTGTAAAGCTATTGTCATGTTTTAACTAACAATTGCACTGTAAATGATGGTTATATTTTAAACTAACAGTTGCATTGTAAAACTATGTGTTTATTTTTCTTTCTTTTCTTGTTTTACCATTTTATTTTGGAAAAAAAGTTTGCAGCTCTCATTATTACTAATTTAGTATAATAAGGATTTATTTAGCACAAATACATATACAGACATATTACCGACCGATGAGCGGCAGTCGTTCGGTTTGATTTCATTCAATATACCCAATAGAGAGGTGATATTCGTCTAATCTTAGCTCATACTTCCAAATCATTTACGGTAACATGCTTTCTCCGTTTTGGCTTTTATGGGTAAGTTTATGAGCTTTGCGTAACGTTTAGTTATATAAATTGCTCCAGCATCAGTTCGAATAACGACATTATTTTCTGAATTACCGTTTTAAACAAAGATGAGAGTAACCGTCGCACGAAGAGCAATAGCAAGTCCACTTCTTTTGTTTGTTTTTTTCACTTTGATAGTGTACGTCGCACAGAGACCAACTCACTCGTCAAGACTACACAAAAGAGATCCGTAAGTTGTTATTGAATGGTAAAGCGGTAATTAGCGACATTCATTGCAACAAAAAGAAAGTATTTACTAACAATATCTAATGCTAATTACATCTAGTGGGACGCCAGGATACCATGCATCACAATGTGGAGATAGCTGCCCGTAAGTAACAATACCCGCACGTTTGCTTGGTTATTTTGTCAAAAACAAAACAACAAAACCAATACTCATACATGTTATGTTGGTTTACATAGTCGAAGTACAACAGTGGTTGTCGTGACTGCAAAAACAACGCCTACATCTATCCCAGGATTTGATAGCACAGCTATGAGAGCGAGAGGAGAAGTGTGGATGGTTGCCTTGCTCATGGTTGCGTCTTTCTTTACATTTTTCCTGTAATAATCATTAACCATTTGGATTGGAATCAATAACTCTTACTATAATGAGAGTTTCAAACTTACAAGAACATTAATCCTCGATAGACATTTTTATGTCATTTATAATATTAATTGGGCCTGCATTACCAGATATTACTTATCGAAAGTTGCATTAATAGATGAGTCCAAAAAGTTACAATTTAAATAGTATGTGAAAGTTGGTAATGAACATTTATTGTGTGGTTATTTGAAGATAATTTAATAATTATTTGAAACTATAAATAATACGTAAATGAATAAATTTACATAATTTTGCGAGTGACTTGTATTATTCAAAAATAGATTTGACGACATGTTTATAAATAACAGAGCCTTAATACAATACTGCTTTATTATTTGAGTAATTACGCCAGCGTTATAAACAGATATCGCTCAATGCAATATGATGCGCGCGCATTGTCTCAGATAGTAGCATACAGTCAAACCTCTTTATACCGATAGACACGAGTGAGATTCAGCAGAGTATAAGCAATACAATTTAGTATGTCAAAACAAAATTTTACCGGTATAAACCAATTATCGACAAGGAGATTTGATAAATACTCAACTCACATTGAAAATAACAAACCTTATGTAATTCCTTGAAGAAATGGAAATTACCCAAGATTGGATTGACTCTGACGAGCAGAAATAAAGTAAGTTAATAAACGGTTGTCATGGAAAATTTCTCAAAATAACGTAAATTTATTATGTCCACGTCAGAACAGTATATTTGTTAAGGTATAGTATAAACTTGTAATCTATATTGTGTTAAATTGTTTAGTATTAAAATTTTCTGTCTTGATTTGTCTGCTCGGTTCTCAATTAGATGTTGATTTGGATTCTGTAACTTGCCTTATTCAGCTTAGTTTAGTCTCTATTATTATAAGCAAGAAACATTTCGGTTTAGCAGCAAAAGCGCACAAAATGACAGTATTTATTAAAAGTTTGATTAAATCTGACACAAAGTTTATTCAGCCGTTTGCTAGTTTTTTTTTAACGACAATGAGCTGAATTAGTAATTATTAATACTGAAAGATTAATAATAAAAGCCAGAAAAAAGTCTATGTTGACATTAGAGTTAAATTCCAACTCAGTAAATTAATAATAGTAAATAAAATTTTACAATTTTAATAGACTGACTCTACGCATATATTTAAACCCCTCCAAATTGCGCCGGGTGTAATATTTTAAAACTGATAATTGACGTCTTGAAAACTAAAGTTTATCAAGTAAAGAATACGCTTCGTTGATTTATAACATTTAATGATATACTGTATATTGATTAGTTTATAAAGTGCGTAAATTTAATCAGAATTATCCATTAATATCTAATTATGGGCTGTAAAGTCAATACGGAAAATCTTGGATTGATTTGCGAACCAAGTCTTAACTGCAAAGAAAAGACTGACTACATTAATAGAAGCGTTTAACTGACTGGTCTTTTCGTTTTCGAACGACATTACATCAGCCCTTTTTTGTGCACATAGGTTTATAATAAACTTATATTATTATGTCTAATCTCGAAGAATCTAACAAACTTTTGCGCGTACATAACATTAATACCTTAGCAATTGAATACCACCTGGGCAGATGTATGTGAAAAGGAGACAATTTTAAGTTTATACAATAACTTTTTTTGAGAATATAATTAGATAATCCAACATTTAAGATATAAATCTACAGATAATGCTAAAGAACGTAATATAAATTACTGGTTATTTTTAACATTATGTAGTAAACAAAAGTTACATGTACTATTATACTTATATTGTTGTAAAAACATAAATAGAAACTGACTTTTTATTATAGATGGGCTCTCTTCTAATTCCGAGACACTTCATTTGCAATACCTTTATCTATTATGTGGAAAACTATTATCCGAAACTTTGTAAAACGCCAATAGAATTAATGCATGTGTGGAAAAGCTTACTTTGATAAAACCGCTGATACAATAATAACAAGGACACAATTCAAACAGCCGAAAAAGTCTATAGATTAGTGAAATTGGGTGGGGAGACGCAGATTTCGATTACACTGTGATGTGACGCGAGAAGTAAACAAAAAGATATCAATTTGGTAACGAATTTGTAATTCCACAACAATCGGATAATTATAGGGGTGATTACCGTATAAAGTATCCATTACCATGTCATGTCTTTTAATCTTCTCGCTCTCATCATTAGACGCCATTGCATTTTACTTTAAAATGTTGAGTGAATTGGTTTTCTTTGGTGGTAAAAGATAAATTTTGGAGTGTTTTTCGTATATAATGATTGTATACTTTCGCTAATCTGAGGTAAGACCATTGCACAATATAGTAAGTGTTGTAAACTGCGTATATGTGTGTGTATGTGTGTGTATGTGTGTGTATGTGTGTACGTTGTGTATCTGTGTATGTGTGTAAGTTTTAACAAAGAATAACGTAAAAAAAACAAGTGATGATAAAATTTATTTTATTGGACTGTAATGATATGCAGGATCGAGTAAAAACACATGTTTGAAGTCTTGCATCGAGGTCTTCTAAAATTGCCCGACGATGATCTTATCGCTCAAATCGATGGTTGATTGGTACATACACATGCTTCCGGTCAACTTTTTTAACTCTGAATTGTGTGACATTGTATCAAAAATGGAAAGGCCTCAATGGCAAAGCGGGCGTCTTTGTTCTGCCCCCTGTTCTTGGCTTTTTATTGTTAAAGTGTTTTAAGGAATATGTGTAATAAATAGTAAAAGAATTGCTATAAATAAAACTGTGTGCCATTATTGATTACTAATGTGGCAAAGCAATACCAGTTTGAAAATGTCGACATCTTTAACCTTCGACTCGATAATAAGGGATCGACGTCCGGTTGAGAGCGATTAGAGCATGTGAGAAGTGTATTAATAAGACATCGGCGATATAAATAGAAGAAGGCTATGCGAGCATAACATTTTACAGATTGTGTAACTCCTTCTCCATAGTCTCGACATTGACCAAATTTGGTGGCTGTCACTGTATTATCAAAACTGTACATTTCCCCCTTTTTTCTGTGTCGACGTTGTTGACCACCGAGTTGAATTATCGATTATTTATATTAATTACTCTTGCTTACTAAACTTTTACTCATTATCAGCGCACTTTCCCCTGTCTGCAAGAAGAGATACTGCACGCAAAATCAGGAATTTAATCATTGTCTATCAATTAAAATGTATTATTTTTAGCAGGTGACAAGATTTTTATGTAAGATAGGCAGGGAGGGGAATATTTCACATTCACGTATTACGTAACACATGACGGGGAAACTTCTCCTTGCTTCGAATTGAGACACAATACTGGGGTGGTAATGCATCTACTCACTTGTGGTTAGTGCCTAGTATAATGTGGCAGTGAGTGAGTGAAGTGAGCGCAGCCATATATTTCATCACAAGACTGGTTTGTTATTTCTGTCGAACAATAAAATACTTGTGATCCCGCAGTATTTTTGTGATATATATATCAGACGTAGGCTGATACAATTCAACCACTTTTTTGTCAACGAAAAAAAAAAAGTATCATAATGCCAAGACAATTAAACAGACCGCAGATAAGGGAACCACTTATCTTGTTCCTCTTCATTGTCTTCATAATCTTCGCGCTCAAACCACCGACTAACACGGTATCGAAGCTATCTCCGCTCGAGAAAAGAGCCGCTGCGTTGCGTAGAGAGTATGTATTGAGTATTTAGTAAAGAAGAGAATCGTTTTGTTTCTTTGTGAAAAATGATGCTAACCCAATTTTTAACAATAAGTCCCCAGGTGTCGAACTGTGGCAGTTTCTGTCCACCGTCAGAGTGAGTAAATTAACTACTACAATCTCGATAATATGATTCATAGATTGATAATATTATCCATTTTACTGAACAATCTTATCAACCTTTATCTAGTACTACTACTCCTTCACCATCGCCTCAACCAGAACCTAAGCAGACTACATCAGTTACCGCTGGTCCTGGCGAGACTCTTGTTACTACAACTGAAACGAGAACCACAACATTTGTTACTGTCATCCCAGCGACCTCATCCGCAGTCACGTCAACAGAACCTGATGGTTCAGTAACTGTAACTGAAGTCTACGTACCTCCTAGAACAACAACTATGGTTGAAACTGTTACTGGTGTTCGAACATTCGCTACGCCAAATCCGGTGTTGCAGAAGGGAGAGGCTATAAGATTGGGTGGAATAGTATGGACAACAGTGATAGTTGGTTTTGTCTCATTTTTCGTCATTCTTCTTGCTATGTAATGAGTCGATCACAATGGACTTGGACAATTGTCTCTGTAGAGAGATATACAGTTGCGGTCTTCCGTCTTCTTTTGTTTTATTTTTTATTTCGTGTGTAATACTCTATATTGGTAGTAGTGGGTAGCCCTTTTGGAATTGTTTTTGTATAAATATATGTTAAACATACTAGTATTATGATTACATAAAGTTTTAATTCAATAAAAAAAATATATTAATGAGTGCATATTGAACCTTAATTACATGGTCGCTCAAAAAAGATCAATTTCATGTAGTTATTGTTGTTGTTGCTATTGTTATCTGTAAAGCACACCTTACACGGCATCACTTACTTTTTAGTGTGCCGAATGTGGAATGTCTATTTATATAAGTTACACTGCTTGCATTCCTGCACATTGACCATGTTGACCATGGTAAAAACCGGATTACCCTGGCTTGGCCTGAGGGTTATGGCAGTACTAAGTTTAGTTACAGTTTTACTAAAAATAAACCGGTCAGGCATCAAATGAAAAAGATGAGATGGATAATATGAGACTGAAAGCTTGTTTATTTCAAAGTCAATTGATTGGTAAAGAAATTTTCCTGACACGTGAATGCTAAAAATAGTTCTATAGGTTTCCGTATATACAAGTACATTACCTAAAAAATGTACTCTTCCTATCAATGGAAGGTTTGGTTCAATCACAATCGTATCCTTTCATCCCGATTCTTGTTTCAAGTGATGCAATCGACAAACTCAATATCATGTTATCAAAAAGTATAGATGTGCCTGTATCATACTCCACCAATGCAATCTCCCTCACGACTACATTTCACCGATTCCTTAATACACCCTCGCATCTGATCCGATTGAATCAACCCATCGTGAGATCCCAGCATAGTCCGTTTGAAAATCATATGTATACATTTTAGGGAGAGTAGGAGGGGTATGACTAGTTAGATCTGACGCCTGGACTGATGTGGAGCTATTCTCAATGTTTGCCTCAACAATGTTAGGATTTATTGCATCAATATCACTTCTTTTGCAAGATCGGCAGCTGCAGTTACGACTGAAGCAACAGCCAACGGTACCAATATATAATCGTTAACATCCTTCCAGGCAGTAACAGGCTGATTGTCCTCGATTTCCCCAAGTGTTGGATGCTTTGGCCTTGATGTGAATAACCATTGACCGGCGTTAACAAAAGCAAGGATGCAGCTGATCACTACCCATGTCCAGATTGGTTGATCGAAACCATAGCGAGAAGCTACGTAGACGGTTGCAATCAAGTTTAGGGCTTGGAAAGCGACTAGGCGTTTTGTTGCAATGCCTGCTTCGTGAGACAGCAAACGACGTGTTATTGAGTCGTTTAGCCAGTAGCTCCAGAGACTGGCTAGAAAGCACTAGAAAAGATTGAATCACAAGTCGGAATGTATGACATGGTGATATGAGTTAGACCTCGTACAAATACACACACGCCCGAAGAACCGCAATCACACACTCCACGCACACACACCCCCCCGAAGAACCGCAAATCACACACTTAACGCAAACTCTCGAAGAACCGCAATCACACGCTCGACACACACTCTCACTCTCATTCACTCTCACTCACTCTCACTCACTCTCACTCACTCTCATTCACTCTCACTCACTCTCACCCACTCTCACCCACTCACACCCACTCACACACTCTCATTCATACTCACCCACATGCAAGCAACAATATATTCAAGCCATATAACTACCACTCCAGCACCCTCACATTCACCGTCAATCGCTGATATGCGTTCGGCAAACGATACGCAAGCATATGATGCAGGAACGAGACTCAACGTACGTGCCAAGAACAATAGTAGACGACGTTTTCGAAGGACGTTTCTTATATGGTGAGTGGATGCCTAATTACAATAAAACATACAAGTATATGGCCTTATTATGATGATGCTTATGATGACGCCTTTACCAACCATGATGTATAAATCGCACGCAATATGTTCTAGTATTTGCCCCCCCCCCCTCCGGTTTGTTACACGCCACACATACAAATTTCGCCGTTCACCAAAACATACATACCGAAGTTATGATACCCTTTACATCAATGTCGTATACAGTTTTGATATCCATGGGTTCCTTGTAAAAAAAAAACAAAAACCAAAAACCAATTATAGTGCACTCTTTCAAATCTGTCGGTCTTCCTGTATATCAGATGTGTCATGTCGAATGAACACATTAAATATAAAATTGATAAGCCAGCCCTTGTGCTGCATCATCGGACATAAGCGGCTAAACAATAATGGTATATGATGTCCTTATAAGTAAACCCAATTCAGTTACTACAGTAACTAAGGCGAAACCTTTATCGGGTAAGATAAGGATCATCGATATCATACTGCATTCGTAAAAAGTAACAGCGGATCGTCTCGTCTTTGGCTTGGCTTGAAAACTTTAATTCTCCAAAGCTCGTTCGACTCTATTGGTTACTATTGTCCGCAGTTCTCTATACATAATTAATGGGTTGATTTTCTCGAATCAGTTGTCTATCGTCCAATCATTTTTGTTTAATTAGTACAAATAATCTTGAAATACAACAACAGTTGCGAACAGGCCAACTAGTGTAGTGGGTATCCCGGGTGGCGCCCAAAATCGCCCGGGGTTCGACTCATGTCGGCTCTCTGTGCTAGGCTCAAGATACCTGTTCGTTTTTGGTTGGCTAAAAAATTTTTTGCTGATTGTGTTACGATGCAAATCAAAATATACACGTCATTCTTTTTTACCTATTTTGTTTTTAAATCTGATTATCAGTAAACAAGCGTGAGATATTTATGAAAATATCAGTTGCATTATACACCATGAATGATGTCTAGTCGAGGCTTTAATGGCATGCACACATTATTATTCCCATCAAAAATGAAGTGCGACAATGTTACAAGGAAAGTGACTCTTTCCGTTGACAAACAACACTGCTATATGCAGCTTTCCGATTACATACTTTATTTACTCTGTTAATAATTTTTTAACACACATGTGATGTTAGCATGTCACTTTACATAACACAGCTAATTTCTAACCAATAGGGAACACAGTAAAAGCGTCGGGTGACTTGACCGTCAAGCGATAGTGACAAAGTGACGACTCCATATGAGGTACAGGAAAGCAAACCTGTTAGATGTTTTAACCATAGATGTTACTTCGTAGGAAACTAAGCGCTCAATTTCCTTTACGGATAACCCTAACGCTACGAGTCAAGGCAGTTTTCCTAAGTTATACTTCAATCACTGGAACAAGGGCTTACGTCAGCAGACGCGCAAATACAGGGACTGTTAATAGACTTGAAATATTCTTAGAATAAAATACATTCTCGA